TGAACAGATGGTTCAGATCGACTCGCAATATTTAAGATTTATTTTTAATTATTTTTTTGTTAATGTTTTTTTATAATTTTATATATGTATGTATATTTATTTGGCTTTGATCTTGACATATAGTAGGTGCTTGTAATCAATTTGATATGATGACAGTTGTCTTTTTTCACATTTATTAGTTGCGTTTCCTTTTATCACGGTTTTCATAATTTATTCATCGATCTGAAGGTTTTTTATTCTTTATTTTTATATTTCACAAACATTATTTATACGTATATTCACTTCAAGACAGACACAACCGAACAACTAGTGTCCGATCTAAAAGATTTGCTCACTTTTTTAGAATCTATTTCTATGTATAGGTATTTTTTTCATGTATGTATATTGTATATATATATATATATGTATTGAAATTTACACTCTGATCTTACGAGTCGGCAAATGTAGAATAGATAATTTTGATCTAACCGCCGCGAGAATTCAACACCAACTGAATTGACTCGACGATTTTGAAAATGTTGGAACTCTTGTTTTCACATTTCGTTTTGAATTCGAGCGATGTACGAAAGCGGCAACAGTCTAAGCAAAACGCCAGCGTTGGCAGCAACGGTAAAACAGCATAAACAGCAAACGGCAAACGCCAAATAACGACAACAACACCAGAAGAACACTGTTCATTTGTATCTCTTCTCTACCTCAACAAGATACTCACGAACTCTTTAATATTCGATGTTGGCGTTCTGTGTTCACTTGGCCGATGTTTGTTTGGCTTTGCTATTTTTGCCTTTTTCACTCCCTCCCCCCATTCACAATACAACAAACATAGTTGTTAGATGATGAGAGATAGCATTTGCCGCTCATTGTTCTTCTTTTGGATGTTGGCGTTTAATTCGAGCAGCAGTAGTAGTTGTTGTTGTTCTTTAGAACGTGCTTACTACTTCATTATGCTGTGGTTATTATGTTATTCTTGGTATTGTTTTTACATTTTTTTCGGACAAAACGAACAGCGGAAACATAAAATCATGACAACAAAAATCAGCAAACATGTGTTTTTTTTGTATTGTTTGTATTGTTTTGGAATAATTTTTATTTTTAACTCACATAATTAAAAATAAGCAAATAAATTCACACTTTTCATATAACCGTTATTTATTTTCGTATTTGAATTTTAAAAATAGTAACTATGTCATTGCTGAGATAGCTTTCGCGCGCGCTTGTTTCTTCGTTGACGTTAAATTAACGAATGATTCAAGTAACTTCAGTCGTTTGCTAGTCCAACAAACCAACAGCACACAGTCATCGAACATCAAACATGTTCGTCTTCCCTGTTCTTATGCAAGCGTACAAACATAACAACAAACATGGTTGGCACGAAACAGAGTTAGTAAAGAAGGAAAGGATGAATAGAATCACTACCCGCAACAATTTAGTTGATGTCCGTTGAAAATACCAATTCTGAAAATTAAAAAAAAATCTATTTGGGAGTTGTATAAAAATAATGATAATAATAATTAATATTAGGTGGGAATTTACATTTTAGTATAAAAATAAATTATAAAAGTAGCATTCCTGTTAACAGCTGGGATAACTAGGGGATTCAGTGGAAAGTGCCGATTATTTGTATGGTGCTTATTATAAGCCTTATAATGTTTTTAATTCCTTGGCAATATGGGTAGTCCGGAGATCTTTTCGCATAGACGTTGTTGTGGACCAATGTCATCAGTGAAGAGCGTACATTAGTAGCATTGGGGTTCGTTTATTATTATTTTTGTTTTAATTTCTGTATTTGGAAGGTCCCGTTTAATTGTCGGTATTGTTAAGTTCGTACCTCAGTTATCCAACCTCAATGCAAGTTAAAACATTTTAATACATACCATGTGTTATTACAAGTTATGTCCGGTATTTATGTGAAGGAACTTCGGGAAAGGTAAAAATTGTTTGAATAACGTAGCAAGTATATTGTCTTAATGTATTCCAGGTCAAAAATTATATACAGCACAATCATGAATTGGAATTCGGTAAGAAATATTTCTCTTTTCATTTCCCTACTATAATGAACAAATAAATCTGCAGAGGAAAATAAATCATCGTGGGAAATATAGTATCATGAATGCCCTCAAACTTGCGTTTTCCTTCAGATAACAAAACTCCCTTAAAAAACTGAAGGATATTGGACAAAAAATATATTTTTTCGAACAAATTTTGAAGACAAATTTTAAAATTAACACTTTTATTGTATTTTGTACCAAAAAAAAAAACAAAAACACTATTAGTAATTTATTTATTTATTTCATACAAAGCAATGCAGAAGCTGTTACCAGCCTAATAATTACATTACAATAAATCCAAATATATATAGCGACAATATAAGAAATTCAACCAGTAGCAATAATAAAAACTTAACAATATTGATAACAATTAGCTGGTTCCCCAATTATAATAATTTACAAAAACATTATGTAATAATAAGTTCAAATCAATGCAAAGAACTACTATAATTTACAATTTAAGCAGCCTATTGTAGATCAATCTTGATTTATAGCAAACGCAATGTACTTATTTTTAAAAATTGTAGCAGGGTACGAAAATATACGCAAAAATGAAGGAAGTTGGTTCCAAAGACGGGCAACTCTAACCGTAAATGATCGTTCAAACATTAAAGAGGTAAAACGAGGAATTTGTAATTGTGTGTTGCGGGTGGAATGAAAAAAAAAAATTACTACGCAGCAGTACCGGACAATTAGAGCATATTATCTTATAAAATGTGTTTAATATACGCAGGTCAATGTAAATGTGAAATGGTACACCCAAAAACTGCAATGAATAATTTGTAACATGGTCCCGTCGTTTCAAACGAAAAACAAAGCGCAGAACCATATTATAAAGTTTCTCAATTTTCTTCAAGTTCTCTTGACTGCTACCAGAAACTACTTCAAGTAGTTAAAGTGATATTGCTTAAAAGCGAATTATTGGCCGCAATACAAGCTCTCTTAAATGTTTTCCCCGATCAAGGCTAGGATGAATAAAATGTATCACATATGCAAACCGGCTTTTTATACCCTTTACAACGCTGTGGTTCAGGGTATTTGGTATTTTTTCATATGTTTGTAACAGGCAAAAAGAAACGAGATAGACCCATGGTTCCTTTTGAGAATAAGCATAGAATCCGTCTGTCCTTGTTAAATTGTAAACAAAGTATAATATAGCTCTAATATATATTCTCGTTCGATTTTAAGTAAATTGTGTACCAAAGTAAGGCCGATTGGCACAACTTTTTGCACAACGTACTGAAATTAGTATAGGCTAACGTGTGTCCAGTTTTGGTGAAATAGGTTCAAATTCGGATATAGCTCCCATATATATTCTCCTCCGATTTTAAGTAAATGCAGCACCAAATACTCAAAGTTGCAAGATAGTTAGTACTGAAGTAAGTCTAGCCTAACGTGTGTCAAATTTTGTCAAATCGGTTCAAAACATATGCAACTGAAATTGACTCTGTGGAAATATGTAGTAATATGTTTATTTGGTTTCAAAATATGATTTGACAGCAAACTTTATACTCACCCGTGCTTACTGGCCGACCTTATATAGGCCTTGATACATATTTTGTGTATGTATGTGTACTGTTTTGAATACTATGTCAAATAAATTGAAATATATTCAAATTTAACTGAAATGAAAATTATGTTTTTAACACGTTCGCCTGGAAGTAATTATTTTGTTATGGATGAAACAAAGATTTGATGGTATTCCCTACTGGATTTTGGGAAGAAATCATATACTTTCATTCATTTTTCGCGTTTTTAGTTTTGTGTTGGAAAAATGTCAAACACAAACACTTTTTGCAAATATTTATTTATTTTTGGCAGAAGAAGCCACACGTGCATAGTTGCTTTTTTGTTATTCACCTCAAGCTGCCATACCTTGTTTTATTGTACCATGCATGGTGTGAATGAAATGTTAATTTCATGCCCTCATTTCCGGAGGTCCTAACTTCATCACCAGAACGTAGAATACCTTCGATATAGCTCCCCAAATGATTCCCCTTTATCACGGCTGTCGTATTTCGAAAACTGTCGAAGCGTTGTCGAATTTAAAATTTTGAGGTTGTTCGTGAATATTTATATCGTTTCATGATCACATTTCTATAATTCACTTGACTTACCAACATGCAATAATAAGTAGAAATTTAAGAACAAGTTATCCTTTAATTTTTCGTTTTTATTACAACTCGTAATCAGTATGGTTTGCAAAATAAAAATTAAATATTTTCTTAATAAAAAATACACTTAATATTAGAGAAGTAGTAGCTGTGGTAGTAATATTAATATTTTGTGTGTATGTGCTGTCATTCAATGTTTGCGTTTCGCAGCAGCTTATTATTTCAATATTTATGCATTCTTTACTTGTATGACATTTAATATATATCCTTTCCACATTGCCTAACACCTTAAACGGAAGGAAGACAAAGAGAGGACGAACATTGTAAGAAATAATGTTATGAATGGAATTATGAAATAATTCATTAAATTTGATTAGTTTTGTTCACATTTATTTATCATTATAGTAAAGTAGTAGTATGTAGTTCTAGTTATATGTATATGCAATTTAATGTTTAGAAATAAATTAAGATATTTTTATTTACTGTAATTGCTATTCTCAAATACTTCAGAGTGTATAGAGAAGGTTGAAAATTAAAAAATAAACATGTTTCTAAATATATATGTGTGTGCATACGCTGCTGAAGAGAGTTGCCCAAAGAAACTGAAAAGTCGCTACACACAATTTTCTGGGTAACCTTAATTGCGATACGAAATGAAATAAAATGAAAATATGAAAGAAAACGAAAATAACAATTTAATTCAATGAATGAAAAATATCGATACAAATGGAAAGAAAGTGAGGGGCTTGATAGTTGTGATACGTACAAAAATTATGAACTAGGAAAGCAGAAATGCCAGTTTGTTGTGTCTATTTCAACGAATCTGAATTTGGTGCCGAGTGGGACAGCAACTCAACCCACTACTGCAAAAGTTCCCCGGTAACGATTTCCAGAATCATTTTCTGTCTGAAATATTCCATGTTCTGTTGGGAGAAGGTGATTTCTTTGTTCCGTGTTATATACTCGGCAAACATGCAGCTGAAGACACCACAATCGCTGCCGTTCATTTGGCGTGGAACCCCCTGTACCGATTCTATTTGGAAATCGCTGGTGTCGAAGGGTTGTTTACGTTTATCGAGTGACTCGTCCTTCAGATATTGTTCCAGAGCTTTGAGCACACTTGGGTTGGGGGTGCCCATCGAATCGTAATATTTAATGGTACGATTCTTCATGTGTATTATAGCCATGCACCAATGAACTCCGCCTACATGAACGGGCACGGGAATAACATCCTTTGAAAATATGTCAACTTTACGCGTCCAGCGCTTGACGCCTGCATGACCCGCCTGCATTAATCGGGGCACGAAAAATGTGTTCATTGCATAGACAGTGGGTAGACCGTGCGATTTGCTTTTGACTTCTCCTCGTTCGGTTAGGAGGTTCATGTAAAAGTTAATTACTTCGTCATTCAACCAATTGTGGCCACACAAAGTGTGAATGTCACGTCGTGTTATGTTCAAGTTGAATTTTGACACCAACACCTAAAAATATAAATACAAAAACACAATGCAACACTTGCTCCAATATTTTGTAGATTATGGAAATGTGTACCTGATCAAGTGGACCACATATGGAAGCATTTATACGTGCTCTGTGCTCTGGAGTCAGCTCAACAAACTCTGGCTCTGGTTCGACATCTTCGAAGTCGTCTACCACAAATAGTACTGGATCCACAATTTGGAAGTTGCGCAAACGTTCCTGAATGTCTGCTTCAGCTGCTTTACGTTCTGAGGCAAGTTTTTCAACACTATTAAAGATAAAAGGAATGCCTTAATATTTTCCGAACGAACGAATATGAAGAGGTTGTCTTACACTTTAGCTGTTTCTTTAACTTCATCAAGTCTGTTCCTCTTGCGAATCGACCATTTCGATTGTAAATTCTCCAACCAATTATCCTTGATGTGTGGACACGAACTGATCCTCTCTTTAAATGTATTGACTGGCTCTACATATGGTCTGAAACGGTAATAATTGCAAATGTAAATTAAAACAACTCTGATCTTAAAACATTATTGTCTTCCTCATCTTACAATGACATTTTCTTGCGAGAACTTGTATTGTCCGCTTCCGATTTGCTCGTGGTATTGGATTCCTGTTTTAGTTTAGCACATTGAGATAAAACATGACGATCGGCTGCACTCTCCAAATCAATTATTTCGGATATCTCATTGCCAACATCATCATCGATAACTACAGTGCCAAGATTTGTCTTTGGCCTGGATGCTTTCGATGCGCTATTTAATTGAGAGACCCCTCCAAAAATAATATCGTCGTCATCTTCATCATCCAAATTTATAGTTGACGACAAAGGAGGACGCTTCAAAACCGACTGACCTAAACCTACAGACCTTCTTGTATTGGCTGGAGAGCTTCGAGCTGAGGAGGTGGCTGCTGCTGCCGACATAAAACCGGATCGCCTTCGCTGCGATGATGTGGGCAATTTATTTTCGGACAAGGAACCATATACACGAGGTGCCACCTGTTCCAGTAGTAGTCGGTATTTGTCGCGTTCATCACTCTCCTTCTCTTGTGCTAGTATTGACGGACGAGCCATGTTCGATGAATTGTTTGTGCGGAGACTGCTAAATCCGTTAAGAAAACGCGACGATTCCGATGTGGATACACCACCCGACGATGAAATGCTACTGTTGCGTGTGCCCAAAACATTTCCAGACCTAATGGTAGAAACACGTGGATTTCGTTGACGCAGCGCATCAGCGTAGGATGGTTTTCGCAACGACTCCTCTCCCGAAGTCAATATGGTGCCCGTACGGGGTTCGAGGAGAGGTGGTGGAGGTTTTTGATTGGCCGAATTACCGCGTTCGTCTGTTTGAATAATCGGAATGTTGCGAATTTCGTGCATGCGTCTAATGTCATTTGACGTGGATGGAAAAACCAATTGAGGTTCATCGTCATCCGAAAATTCAATATCAGCATATGAGGTATTCTTGATCAAGTGAGTGGTTATGTGTGGGACTGAAAACATTGACTTCCGCAAGGGTGGCTTATCTGTAAATAATCGATAATCTCGTATAACTGGAGTGCTAAATAAGGATGTTTTGATGCCCGCCGTACCTAAGAACGAGCGACGACCTGATGACATATTAGTTGAGAAAAATGGTTTGTTCGGTTGTTGTGGGGGTGGTGCTGGTGGCAAGAATTCAATTACGTCGTCATCCTTCGTTTGAGCGACGTATTTAGGAAAGTGATTCTCCACTTTGCGATACTTAATTAGTCGATCGCTGGCGGACTCGCAATAATCTTCCGATCTGGAAATTAAAATTTAAAATTCAGTTACTTTTCAATGACATAAGCAAATAGATAATTTTACCTTCTTTTTCTTTTGCCTCCCTGATGATCAGGACTAGTGGTATCGTATTGACTTGATGGTATCCAACCGAAAAATTGTCCTATTTTACTAAGTATATCAAGGCCCATTTGGACGTCTTTATCCTGCGAAGCTGTACGATAGCCTTGGGGCAGCTCAGCTTCCACAGTATCCTGATTCGAATTGTAATCACAATCTTCGACAAAAGTGGGTACGCTTATCCTATTTGCCTTTCTTGGGCTAAGTGGTCTTATTTCCGGGATTGGTAAACTACCGTTCAATATCTTCTTTTGATGTATATCAATTGGAATTGCTTCGGGAACAGGCCGAACACTGCGTTTAGTCTGTTGTGGTAAAATCGCCTACAATTTAAAAAAAAAAAACAGAGCATGATTTAGTGTCGTGAATGATTATAATATTGATGTGGACGAAACATAAATATATCCGGAATCATACCTTTTGAAATATAATTATCAAAAGATCTATTTGTTCAATGCTATGCAGTTTAAAATCTGAACATTACCATAACATCAAACTAGGCATATTAACAATTATACAGATTTCATTAATTCCAAAATAAAAGATCCAATATATTTCTTAAGCATTTAAAACATATATAAATATGGCATACATATATAATTATGGAAAATAGAAATGTATTTAAAGTAGAATTAAAAAGTTTTATTTCTCAAATTTTATTACGAATAAAATATTGGAATGAAAACCTATAATAATAATAGTAATAATATAAAGACATACAAATAACATAATACACGATTTTAATTTTATGTCTTTGTTATATAGGGCATGTTCTCTTTGGATATATAATTTAATTTATTTCATGCCTAACATCTATGTATATATGGGCACTTCCGCAGTCACTTCCACGACTTTCAGAGGCAAAATCAAATTTTAAATCTTAAATAAATCGAAAACAAATACATTTTTTACAATTCTCCTTTAATACTTTTTTGTAGAACTTTAGGAGTATTATCAGTGGTAAAAAAATTGAGAGCCTCTCGTTTTCAACTTTTGAGAAAAAAGCCACAAAAGAGCGGTAACTCACGCGACATCAAATATACATGACTTTAGACATCGCTACTAAAAATGGGAAAACTTTCGAATTGTGTGAATATTTTAAACTTTTAATATTCTTTACATGAATAGTCTCTGCATTTATAGTCTTTAAATTAGTACATATGCTAAGAACAAGTAGAAAAAATGACAAATGTGGTCTTTCTTTGTATTTTTTGCCTTTACTTTACGTATTTAAGCATAATTAAATAAACAAATTCTTCGACGATGGTTTACCTTTTTGCGGAAGTGCCCATATGTGTAAAATGTTATTAAACTTATACCAAAGTTACATTAGGCAATTTTACTTGTATCAGTTGTAAGTTTGTGGGCGAGAGAGGTGAACTCTCAACTCTCACATACAAAGTATAGGATTGAGACTAATGTCTAATGTGCATCTGGACTGAGTCAATTTATTTAGCCCAAAATTTTGTTGATTTCAAAGACCCGAAACTAGGAAAAAAATCAATTGTATCCGTTACTCGACATCTTGTTAATAATAATGTTAATAATAATACCATGTTCTGACGAGCACTCGAACAACGTAGTTCGCTCTCAGAATTACCTACATGAATTCTTTTACACCGAAATCTCAACTTATTTGTGTATATTACCTATGAATTTAAATAGAAAAAATGAGTATTTTTTTATCCCACATTTGTTTCTTGTTTTGTACGCTAATTAGAATCCAATGAAAAGAAAGATATATCAAAATAAGTAGAAAACTAAATTTACTTCCACCTACATGTATAAAAACTAATCATTTTTATACTTTTCATTCATGATTTCTATTTTTCCTGAAAAAATTTGTAAATTTTAGAAATTATTTCATGCTTTCAAAATTAATTTATTTTCGATAAATGCTCCCAATTGTTAGGGATGGGACGAATTTCTTTGTTGTTTAGAGAGTGATTCGAATTGAACTACGTACAAAAATCGGTGTTCGCTCAGAAAAATTTGTGTGGGGAACTAAGTAATTAGTTCATGATTAGGGGCAGGGATGGAAAATTTAGTACAATAGTACTTTTTCAGTACTTTTTACCCAAAAAAGTACCGTAGTATCCCCGTGACCGTTTCAGTACCATTCTAATCCTTCATTAAACAATGATATATATATATATATATATATTTGTTTTGGATTGGAATTTGTTATGGATTTGACCGACAAAAGTATGCAGATAAAGATATTGATGTGATTGCAATATTTCTCTTGAACAAATGAACAGGTTTACGACTGATAACTGTTCAGTTATGATTAAAATTACAAACATTAAAATAAGTTAATGAGTTCTAATTTTTTTTTAAATGGATATGTCTGTCAGATACTCAATTTGGCATACTCTGTGCTATCTCCTGAGCTTGGCAAATTGATGACATTCCTAGTCGTCGTGATTATTTCCATAATTTCAAGAGCTTGAATTACAGTTCCAAGTAATTCATGTTAGTTTGGGGTATATTGGCTTTCGAGAAAGCCAATTCTCATATTATTACCATCAGAAAGATACACTAAGTGATATCTTGAAAATCGATCTTCATGAAACTGATTTTTTTTTTTGTATTTTCTTGAAAGAAGTACTCTTTTGTTAAAAAAAGTACTCTTTTGTACCTTTTTTCATTTTCCATCCCTGATAAGGGGTCGAACAACGAATGAGAGAGCGAATGACGCTCGTCTGTACATGACATAAATATCTAGAGTTGGACTTATAGGGTAAGTGATCCTAATGCCGGCATGCACCAATATTCGGAACATGTTGTATATAACTTCAAATAAATAAAAAATCTATAACCAAATATGAAAAATACCCTGAATAATCCTCAATAATATTGCAACATATCAAAATTTCATATCCTTGTATTGTCAATGAGGGGTTTCAATGTCCATATCGTCCTTAAGACAAATATGTTTAAGTTTTTCCTATAGTCGTCTCGAAATTGGAAAAATCTTAAATAAGTGCTCTGAATCCCGACTAAATTAAAAAAGTGTGTATTAAGTGGTTTTTCATAATAGAAGACTTGGTTGTAATCTTAGCCGAGAATTGGATAACAGGTTCGCAAAGTCGGTACCATGTTTTATAATTTTAATATTTTAATAGAAAAATTAATTATATATAACTTTTGCAATGCGACACTGATAGAAACGACCGATAATAACAATTTATTAATGAAAATAACACAAAAATCTATTAAGGGAACCCCCCCCCATTCTCGATTTTTTATTTTTAAGATTTTAAATGGGCTGGTAAATGAATACTAATGCTTGTAAAGGTTTGTAACTTGGCACATATATATTTGAAGATTTAAAAAGGAAGAAAAATAATTTACCAAAATTTGTTGTTATTGTTTTGTTGTTGTTTTTTGGGTTCAAAGAAAAGTCCATATTTTCGATGGCGGGCATGATAACTCCTCACTGGAACATCGGAATCCGAAAATTCCAACTGTGTTAGAAAGAGTACATGTCTGGCTCTCGTATGAACTAGGATTATTGACTTCGCTCTAAAATTAACAAAATGGCGGACCTTTGAAAAAATATTTTTGGAAAATCCCCGATTTTTTACCAAAAACCAAGTTAAAAAATAAGGAAGATCTTCACCGATTGGCTTTATCCTAGTTCATACGAGAGGTTCACACTGCCAGAGAAATGTGTCAAAATTTGAAAATTGGATTAAGTTTTTGAGTTATCGTGCCCGCCATTCGCAAAAGAGAAAAACGCGTTTAAAGTTTGAGAAGCCCTTTAGCCGTCACTTGATGCTGACACAATAAATCGGCTATATCTTCAAAGTTCTTGAGATTTTCACTTGAAATTTTGTAGGAACATTCTAGAATTAGAGTAGATTCGAATTAAAACAAAAAAATTTTTGACACCGAGAATGGGGGGGGGGTCCCCTTAAATATATAATTATTGACAAGTGGAATCAATAGTCGGCCCTTTTGACTATTGAAAAAAAAAACATATTTTACCTAATTGTCAATTTGCACCACTTTTTTACCAATTTTTTATTGAATCGTAGTAGTAAATAAAAAAATTTGCACTTGGGTTGGTGAATGGTTTAAAATGCGGAAATCGTTAAAGTGCGGAATAACTAGTTTAATATAAACGATCAGATTTTTTTCAGAGGTAGGTATTTTTACTCTAATTATGAAATATATTTTTTCTTGGGGGACATACCCGGTTCTATGGGTATAACCGTATCCGAACTTCCCGAACTTGAGTCAGGATAATGGAACCATTTTCGACATTTAGGTAGTTTTCAAAAAACGCAGCTTTTCTGACTGTATCTCAAAAATGGTTGAGAATAACCTTCAATGGAAAGGTATCTTTATAAGCTTTAAAATTATAGCCATACCCGAACTTCCGGGTCAAACAACAGGGTACGGCCCCCAAGAAAAAAAAACATCTCCATAATTAGGGTGAAAATATCTAACTCTGGAAAAACATTTCAGTTTTTACTAAACTAGAGTTGTTCCTCGGCCCAAAACTGAGGAAATTTTTTTTTATTTATTTCCAAAATGCAATTTGAAGCCTCAAAGACCGATTTTAGATAAATTGCAAACCATACTACCCCATGTAATAATTAAATCTTAATGAATATATCTTATAAAGGTATGATAATTCGAGTTTTGTGCATTAATATAATACAGTCGAGTACGGTTATAGCGAACTCGTGGGGACCAAGCAAACTAGTTCGTTATAGAAGAAGGCTTAGTAGAAAATTTGCAGAAATTGGTAGGTTTGTGTACTTTCTGATAATTCTTAAGATGTTTCTCGTTTTCTTTAATGAATCCCACATTACAGCTGACATCCTTTTGTAAAGTTTGCAGCGTTAATGTACAAATTAACTTTTGTGAGGATTGTCATCGTCGGTATTATGTATATTTGTAGAAAAATTCGTTATAATCAAATTCAAATATATGAAAACTAAACCAATAAATAGATCGTCATAAAAAAATTTCGTTATATCCGAGTAAGAATTTGTATGAAAAATATGACTTACAACTTTGGAACCCGGAAATGTGTTCGCTATAAGAAAAGTTCGTTATAAGCGTACTCGACTGTATATATGTTTTTGCTGAAAATAATATTGCAATTTATAGAACTTCAAATTAATACCCATATTAACGTAGGGAATTTTAAAAATTGGGGTTGTACAAATAGATTTTTGTTCTACAACTTAAGATATATCTCACCTGTATAGGTGTACTTTGATCTTCTTCACGGGGATGTAGGGACTTTGATAGACTTTTCCGTTTGGGCACACGTGTCACTACGTATTCGTATTCTTCGTCTTCGTCCACAATTGCCGATTCTTCTTGTTTTTGTTGTATTTCGTCCTTGTGAATGTCAATGACGAAATGTGTGGTATCTGCAACAGGCTTTCTTTCCTCAGTGGCTATGTACTGTTGTTTCGCGTCTTCTGTTACGGATTTAAGGTTAGATGGTACTTCAGATTCTACTCGATCAACGTCTTCAATTTGCAATATTTCGTATTGCTCCTCTTCTTCTTCTTCTTCGAGCTGTGGCTCTTTTTTTGCCAAATGATCTAAAGCACCGTTTGGCTCCTTAGGTTTATTCGCCAACTGTTTTACAACATCCAAGGTATTTAGGTTTTCAACCGGCACCAATTTGGGTTCGGGGCGTCTTACCCACTCCTTATTGCACTTTTGATTATCTTCCTCCCTCGACACTTGCGACGATGCGCTATGCGCCGCCTCCCTCACACGCGCCAACAATAGCGCAGATGCTGCAGCGGCGCTTGGGCTGCTCGAGGTCGGTACCCGATTAGTAATTATGTGATGTAGATTATCTTCCAGGCCCGTATGTTCAATGTACATCATCAATGTAAATTTCTTGGAACGGCTTTAAAAGCCTAATTATCCATCGACAATCGAAACCCCAGGATATTGTTGTCTCTTTACTTTCAGCACCTCCTTTCGAATTTTGTGATCCGTGTTATTTTCTTTCACCTCAATTTTGTCAATTTTGAGCGCCCCTAGCCTGCTCTGCGTCGTTTCGACTCGCTGCACACAATTTACAATTCACTATGGCCGCTTGTTGGCAAGAGGAGCGTCTGCAATTCCCCTTTATTGGAACCCGTGTGATTAGCTTGGATATATTCCCAGAAAAAGTGGCCTTAGTTTTCGTATTACATGGGATTTATATTATTACGAATACTGGACAAAGAAAAACAATTTTTTTGTTATCCAAAAAGAAAGCTTGGGCCAAATTTTTGCGAAAATTCACGTAAAGAAAAAGCCGCTATTACACACACACACGTACACACGAAGTATTTGCGATTTGCAGCCAACTTCGTTAGTCTTTTGCTGTACTACGTTATTTAAATCATAGCGTAATACGCACGACGTATGGCGTTAGAAGCGACGTAAATCTGTAAAAATATAAAGCTACGTTTAGACAAGAGTGTGTTTTACTAATTTGTATCACATCGAATGCTTATTGCTTTTGAGAAATAAAGCAGATTATTGGATGTGCAATGCGATGGATGTTTCTAAATCTTGTTATATTACTGTTGTGTTTTCTTCTATACTCTTCTAATTTTATTAAAAAATATTTGAATATTAATAAAATATTTATGTTTCAAATTGAAAAATTCGATTCAAGAAAATATCTGGCGTTATCTGGGTTAATAACAATGAGATTTAATGATTTAGTACTTAAAATAACGTTGATGAAAGTTTTCAAATTATCCTATGTAGATTTGTCCAAGTTCTGTCAAACCATCTATTCTCTAGATATTTCGCCAACTTTTCAAATCTAGTCCACTTATAAATCGTATTTTTTACATATTTGAAATATGTCCCAAAACATCATAAAAATTGCTTAAAATTTCATAAAACTGCTTTTAGACTTACCAATCCCACTCGATTTGAAATATCAATAAATATTTTTATAAATGGAGTGCAATTTCTAACAAAATTATGAAAATATTGATAAAATAAATAAAATCAGGAAAGGTAAAAAAAAACAACTGATAAATCCACTCATTTCATTTTAATACTAGTCTAAACAGTTGGGATTTCATATCTCGATTTATATATCATGTTAATTTAGACGGTATAGTCTAAACGCACCTGAACATTCAGTCTGACAAGGCGTTTAGACTACTAAATCCACATGATTTCAAAAGTCAATTCCACAGCGTATACGTCACGTTAATCCTGTTCACAAATCCCATAGACTATATTTGAAGTTTACGCTATGGAATTGACATTTGAAATATAAACGTACTTTAGTTTTTGTTTAAAGTTAACAGTGTCAAACTGGTTTAGTATGAACAAATGGTATAATAATAAAAGGTAACAGCAAGTGTTGTTGTGCAACAAACGATACAACAACCACATGGAAATTTGTTGTTGTAATAGGGAATATCGAGTAATTCCCTCAAGAAAGATTTGCTTCCTCAAACTTTCCCAGCAGGCAGATTAAGTAAATTGAATACGGGAGCACATTAATAAAGAACAATTTCAAATTGCATGCGTTCCCAATTTTCCTGTTGGGTGATTTTTAAAAACATAATTTGTCAAATTTATATTGACATTAGTATTACGTTGGAATCAAATCAGCAGGGATTTGCTGTTACCTTTTATAATTGTACCATGGTATAAGTCTGCTTTTCCACAGGCAGATTTTTATTTGGCAAATTTTTTGTTTTCTCTTTTGAAATTTTCGCTTGCTTTTCCATTAGCAAATTTTTTTGTCAAATTTGCGAATCAATATACAAAAGAAAGAAAATAAAAGTCAAAAGTGTTTGCATTTTAAAGATTTTTTTATATTTTATTATATAAATTGCAAAAATTAAATTTCACTTGCACAAATTAAAGCAACAGGTTTGTAAACAAAAGCAGGCTGTGTGTCAGTAAAGCGAATAGGTTCAAAAGGAAATGTCAACAAAATTGTTTTCAACGAACAGAGCAAAGCAGAATTTGCGTGTACGCCAAATTCTGAACAGGCAAATTTTTGTTTTTCTTCCTCGCACCCCTCTCGCCTACAAACTCAGTATTTGCCAAATAAAAATTTGCCTGTGGAAAAGCAGACTAATGAAAACAACGGCGGCTAATATTTGGTCTGTTCCCGTACTACGATAACGAATTTTTCTTTATGCTATCGAAGAAAATAGTATAATCGAGTAGATTCTTCCAGTACGGGAACAGACCAATTGTCTGTCATTGTTATCTATAGAAATATGGGAAATTCGATAATAACGACAAACGAAAAATATTTGTCATACGAATTAGGGGCACGTAGTCGAGAGTAAAAGTCGACTTTTCGATTATTGCCTCTGACCGAAAAGACGTCTTTCATATTTTTGACTAAAAAGTTGACTTTTCGTTCTTTCGATTTTGCCAAACCGGCTCAAAATCGATTTTCGACTTTTACCGACTAATGCAATTCATTTTTTTTTGTGCTTTAATGACTGCTAGTGTGAGCAATCTATCCCCCGAGGAGATAATGCAATTTAATTTGTAATCAATTACATTCCAAATCCCAATTTTTAAATTGGGGAAAACAGCTGATGGTTTTTCGTTAGCAACGCCGTCACATATTAACTTTTCAGTATGGCTCGGTTCTCTGACTGCAGCTGCTGTGAGTGTATGTGTGTAAACAACACAGTGTCTCTCTCCCACATCATTCGTAAACTTTCCGTTATACCACTTTGAGTTCATCTTTATCGGCCAATTTGTTTTCTCCTGTCATTCGTTAGCAGGTGGAACGTTTTTCAGTTTTTCTTCAAGTCGTTGAAAAAGGCGCGAGATTACTTACTTTCTCAAAATAAAAATTATTTTAATTTAATTGAATTATGTTTAAATGCATTAAATACAAGGATGTAAATGATAACAGGAACCACATTTTTTTGAATTACTTTAGAGGTAATTGTCTTTTCCATATACTTTGACATTTTTTAGATGGTAAATTAATCTGGTTTGGGATGAATATATCCACGGCAAAGCTAACCCCACGCACGAACCACCAAATGGTCCAATTGGCAGTACGGTCTCCGCTACCGCTACACAGAACGCGAGACAGAGGTACCAAGCACACCCAGCTCATAAATCGGATGATTTCTTTCTTTCTAATTAAATGATTCCAGATATTTGCATATCCAACTACACCTTTTTCACATGTTATTCAAAACATGTCAAATGTAATTCGATAATTGCATTTGTAATTCAAAACATATAATTTGCAATTCGAAAATTCCATTTGCAATTCATATACTTCCATTTGAAATTCCAAAGGTTTCAATTGAAAGTCATACAATTCCTTTTGAAATTAATAAAGTTCCTTTTGAAATTCAAAGAAATTCATTTGAAATTCATAACATTTGATTTGAAGTACATAACATTTCATTTGTTATTCATAACATTTAATTTTAAATTCGAAAAATATTAAAGGTAATACACAAAGAATATGTACGAATTTAAAATGAATTGTTACGAATTACAAACGAAATATTATGAATTACAAGTGAAATGTTATGAATTTCAAATTCAATTCTTTGAATTTTAAGTGGATTTCTTAGAATATTCAAATGGATATATAATAATTACAAATGATTTTTTTTTAAGTTTAGATGGAATTATTTGAATTACATATGAAATGTTTAAAATTACAAATGAAATGTTGTGAATTACTAATTACATTCTCGAATTACAAATGAAATGTTATGAATTGCAAATTGCGTTTTCGAATTACTAATGAAATTCTGGAATTGCAATTAAATTGTTTAGAATAACATTTGAAAATGGTGTAGCATTTCTCATAAGATTGGATTTTGGTTTCCGGTATCTCATATAGGGTAATTGTCTAAACAGGCTAGAATCTCGAATTCGTATATGTAATACAGGTTGGGAAGTGGTGTTGATATATGGAAATTGTTTTAGAAATTCGTACTTATGTGTATGAAAAGTACTAAATGGTAGTCAATTTTGTACAAGTTGCACAGATTGAGCTGGAGTCTTGTAATTGCAAACTGATTTTTTCTTCTTGTAATTTGTTCTTCCTATTGTTAGAACAAACTAGCCAATGTGGGCCTTGTATTTCACGAGGTTTTGGGCATGCATCTCAAAGAGGCAAAGATCGGTTCTGGTGGCTGTTTGTGACTTTGTTTTATTAAAGGTTAGGTTCTTCCTCCATATGTTTGTATACGTGATTGTTGATTTGCTTATTGACGAAGGTGGTATGACCAGATCAATTCCCCAATTACACGTTTTGTAATAAAACCCAACCTAACTATATAATAACATTAAATTTATTTAATTTCTACAACTAATACACAAATATACTAAATTCCATAAAATTATGCTGATAGCGTATAATCCAGCCGCTAAACCGACACTCGCCTGAAACGTAAAGTTAGCCACAACCCAATGGGCAAGTACACCCCAAACTAGAATAAGAAGTCCGTTTGTGAAATGGACGGGGTATCGTATGGCCAACCACTGTGATCGACTCATGCACATTTGTAGTACCCAATCCTGTAGAAATAATGTTACCGATTGGCCAAAACCTAATAGGGCAGCTGAGACACTCAGCAACAGTTTCGAGGTGGAAAAGCTAATAACTGAAAGAATTGAAATTGGTTCCTTACTTTTTTAAATGAAATTGAATTTCTTTAATACTTACATACTAATGCTAATCCTTTTGAAAGACAACCCAATGTGTGCCACTGGAACTTTTTCTTATACAAACTATTCCCAAAACGGGGTGTCATCAGTGAAAAACACATCCACGGAAAGGCCAACAATGAAAATAGAAAAGGTATCTCGGCATTTTTGATGGCATGGTGACTAACAGCCAGTCCGGGTAGTACCGTAAGGCACATAACATAGGAGAAGATGTCAGCCGACAACAAGAATGTGGTTGGATACAATTGAGGTACCATTAATGCCCTTTTCAAAGGCACAGCTATTTTATCCAAAAGATTTAGCCATAGATGGGATGTGACGTCCCTAGAAAACTGTTGTAATTTGTCCTGCACGATATAGAGAGGTAAACATAAGCCAAATTCAGTTGTCTTCGCGCTGCCGGTATCTTACCAAGTTACTGTAACCAGAATCTACCACACCTTCCCGACTCATTTGCAAGCCATTGGAAGTGGATTTCTGCATTTGTTGCGAGGCGCTCATACTGTTGGTCCTACCATAATTCTCAATTGTTGCTGAGCTGGAGCGCATCACCGACACAGTTTCGTCCTCTTCTGGTATAATTTCCATTATTTCGACACCATTGGGATTGATGAATGTTACATCCACTTGGTCAGTGGGCAGCATATATTGGTGATTATCAACTGCAGCTGCTGCCAATGTCATGGCAGCCATACTATTATGGTGTTCCATTAGAGGATTTTTCCATGTGCGTAACTCTATGCCATCCAATTGATCGGCAAAGGTATTGGCATAACGCCCCAGTTGATGGTGCAACGGCGTAAAAGTGGCCTCGGCCTTAATGACCGATATACGTTGAGTTATGGCACCCTCACGGTGCCTCGTTATAATTAAACTTATGGGTATGAGATTCACTAATAAGGCAGACATTAAAACTATAGATTGTGCAGTGCCGTACAGGGTGCGTAAATTGGTAAATGCGAAGGACAAGAAAAGCTGACAGAAGGCTTCACCACACAGGTGGATAGTCTTACACACAAATTTGTCTTCTCGAGGACGAACAGCTTCCAGTATGACGTGAGTCTTCCAAATGAAGAGACTGGCGCCAATGCCTATGTGATATGAATTTCAGAGATTATTTCGAATTCGATGTGATTATAATTATATTGAGCTTACCACCAAAGAAACCATAAAATACAATGGCTATAATTTGGGTTGTTGTTGTAACGCGTATCCAAGCCGAAGAGAAGAATATTCCACTTATCATTAGGGAACAAAATGTTATTAAGGTGGCCAGTAGAAAAACTTTTCGATACTTGATTGTTTCCCTTGTGCGTCCATGGTACTCCGTATCCAAATGTTCGAGGATGCTGCGGCATAGTTGGCCCGTAGCCATGTACACAATAGCTGGCCAAATACGAAGTACTAAATCTTTGTCTGACTCAACAACATTACCGTATAAATAGGCAGGAGTGGCGAGGAATGCCTAAGATATCAAATAAAAAAAATACATTTTTGAAATATTTGAAAAAAAAAAAACATATGTATATATTTGGTTCAAATTATGGTTGAAATTGTCAAAAGGCAAGACAATTTTTAAGGGAAGAATATAAAAATATAGATTTTTAATGGAACTTTTTTTTATTATAATCTCATCTGAATCATTTATCGTAATCTTTGTGCTAAAGATAAGAGCTTTCTTTGTCCGCTCACCCCAAAATTTAATAATTAATGCAGTTCCGAAAATGAATTTTAATGTTGATAGCACTAAGATATCGAAGTAGCAATGATCGTCGTCGTTTAAAATATAAGGATGCAGGTTCTGGAACAGATATGTGCATGTGATTACTGACTTCCCATAATTAAAATTGGGACAATTATTTGCATCCCTCCTTATATTTTCGGGAAACCAATGCAAGTATATCATATCAAACATATTAAAAGACTTTAGTCAAATTCAGTCAAATTCAAACACACAAATGGAGACACATTGGGACCTTGTTGTGGTTGTAAACATATAATCTAATAATTAAACACAACTGGAACTAAATCGTAAATACCAACGGTTATATCAGTTTCGACACACCAAACCTAAAATCTGACAACTTTGGATCAATTCATGTATATGTACTCGTATATCTAAAACCACTAATACTAATGAATGGTTTATTTAGCTTTTTTTCTAATGTTTAACACTGGAGTTCCATTTATTTGATTTTCTCAATACAAAATTTTGCTAGCTGTTTTTTTTTTAATTGTTACCAAAAATTTTATTATAAATATTTCAGTTGTTGGGATTAATAGTATATTCGTTAAAGGTATGTTTATATGTATGTGTATAGTTAATTCTTTTGTTTGTACTTATGTATGTACATGTATTACGAAACCACACAACATATACTTCTGCTGGATATGTTTCTTTATCACACGTCTGCGTTGGATACCGGCCGTTGCCACTGTCGGAACGGGACGCCTCACGGCCGCTGTTGCCCCTGGTCCGAGAAGTGATGCTTCTAGCGGATTTCTGGCCATGGTTGCTACCGAGTCACGGTTATCGCGAAACGCTCCATTGTTCGAATATCCTTCATCCATTTGAGGAAAACGAATATTCGTTTCCAATGCGTTGTTATTGCTTTTTTTTACTTTGTCTTCCGAAGACAAATACCACGACTATTACTACGCAAATAGTGAAAAACAAATAAGAATAATAAGCCAATTGTTTTGCGTTTGACCGCTTTTATTATAATGAAAATCCGATTATAGCCTTGCGATGTTTGGTTGCTGCTTGAATCCGATATGAACTGCTGGTAAACTTGTAGAATCGCAAATGTCAGATTTCAACGGTGTGCACACCAACCTATAAACAACAATATAATTTATACTCTGATAAGAGTCTTATCTGCTGATAATATCTTGAGATTACTTCACTGAATGCATTTAACCACTGTCAGTGTTTTTCGGAGTACTTTTCACTCGTCGAGTGGAAATCACAGATTTTGAGTGAAAGTGCGTGTAAACAGTTAAGGACTGGAAATATTACCGTAACTTCATGAATGACTTTCAAAGTTTAGTGGACTTTATCAAAGTAGGCGGACGTTACACTTTTAATATTTTGAATTTTTTCGGATTACAACTGGTAATTCATCACATTGATTAAGAAACATATAAAATAATATTAGAGGATTCTGATTGGAATACAATGAATTTTAGTTGTTATTCAAATAATTACATACAAAGACAAATTATGTTTTAAATAAAAATGATCCAATAGGAGAATTGATAAGCATAAAATTCAAAATTAGTTTTTATTTCAAATTAAATTTTCAAGTGAAATCGAAAATGTTCGATGATATTTTGTCACATTTGGCTAAAGATTCCTTGATTTTGCAAGATAAATATGACTCCATAATTAGAGTCGATACACCATTAGAATCGAGCTACGTACATTTATCAGGATATAAGTAGTAAATGACGTTCACAATTTGTGGTCGATACACCATTAATGCAAAAATCTACTAATCCATTCCATCCAATTTGAGGAGTTTAGGCCTTGAAATAATTTCGAAAATCACAATAAGTTATTGTTTATAATATTTTGATTGGATGGTACCTATTACATATATAGATATAGTCTCATGAAGTCATATGTTTCCAATTTTTTTCATAAATTTGCCTTTGACAGTATTCAGCTTTCAAAATTTAAATGAAAATATCTTCCTTCGAAATGCACGCATACCATGTGTTCTGTGCCAAAAATTTCTAATAATTTATATGTATAAATATTGATATATATATACATATATATATATATATATATAAGTTCCCTGCATCTAAAACTTATACATGTAAGATGGTTAAATCATGAGAGCAATGTTCAGCTTTAGAAAATATATTTTGTTTAATTTATTGAAAATATGCCAATCGACATATTACAACGTTGCCTATAATCCGACGGGGCGTACAGAAAAATTCAACTTCCCCACTTTTGCAAAATGTTGTGTACGGCCGTATTACCCAAATACGTCGTATCCATATGTTCAAGCGAATAATACAAACCGCCAAACAAAATTGAAAATTTATTAAATTAATCCAAATATGTTATGTTCACGTTCGAAATTTCATTTTTCTCAATGTTTCGTTTTTCTTTTCAAAAAAATTGATTGTTTTGTGAATTTTATTTTGATTTTGTATCAAAAAAAAAAAAAAAACAGAAAAAAAAACAAAAAATACGCTCTGTCAAAGTTAAAATTGTTCAACTTGAAATTATGTACGCTCGACGTATTTCGGTAACATTCATATAAATACATATGTTCTACTTCTGTGGTGAAAAACGTCGAACGAGCTAGTTGAATTTTAGGTAGGGCTGTAAACAATTTTATGGAATTTATTTTTTATATTTTAAATTGATAGGTGAGTTCCAAATTAAAAAGGTTTGCCAACATCAAATTCTCTCAATCCTACCTTCTGTAATTATGCCATGGCCATGTACTTGCATGAAACTTTCTAATAATAAATTGTGAATTGATATCAAATAAAGGTAGAACCTTTGGATACCGGCGTTATAACCGATGTTTGTGTTTATCTATGGTTTCCTTTTTAAAGGATTTTATTTTTTTGGGCAGCCATGCACACCAGCGTTGATGCGTTCTCTTTACATTTTTGATGTTACAACACAAATAAACAATAATGAAAAATTGTCCGCAATTTTTATTGAATTTATTTTTTACACTTTCTGGGATGTTATTTATGTTTTAAAAATATTAAAACAATTAAATTCCGCAGAATTATTCTTCTTATTTCCCCTTAAAAAGGGGGAAAACAAACCACCTAAAACCAAGAAAATTACATGTACAAAAAACAATTTTTTTACAATCCGATTTTGTATTTTTAGCCATTAAAGTGGACAACGAAAACGCAAGTACAAATACTGTATCGATACAACTGTTGTTCGTTTACCTTTTACAATTTTCTCTCTTTTTCGATTTTACTCTCAGTATATTCTTACAGAGTATATGTTATTGGATAAGTATAGCTATTATTTTGAATATAATTTAAATCTTGTAGCAGGTCGCCATTGCAAGTCTATATTAATAATTACAAATGATTAATTTAAATTTAAAAAATATATATTTTTAATTTATAAGGCCCCTTTTTAATGGCTAATATTTATCGCGATACCGTTCTAAGATGGTAAATTCCATTCAAACGGATGTTGTTGCAAATACAGAACAATAACAACAACAAAAAGATTTTGAAAAAATAACGTTGTAAATGTCGCAGAGCAATTAACAGATTCGCTCGCTGACGATCGCCCCTGTCCCAGATAAATAATGTTTATTTTGTTTTTCATCCGAACGAACGTATCAGTAACCAACCAAACAATCAACCCACCCACCCACATCGGCTGCAACGCCTGCTTATCTGTCCAGAGTATTGTACTGACTTTAGTTGCCAAAAGGAATCAAGATGACACATCTATTTACACGAATAATTGTATTTGACCAAGATAATTCGATAAACGATGCTGGTTGACGGCTGCTTGATCAGGGTGACACATTATTCCATTGCTGTGCTGGTCTATATAATGCCAAGTAGTGCGGCCCTGTCTCCAAGTAATACAACGACACTAGAATCGACCACAACCATGGTGGAGGCAAAGAAATTAGCTTTAACTATACTCGGCATTTACGTGGTGGTAAGATACTTGCGAATAAGTGCAAGAAGAATAATAATAAATGCAATGGCGAATTGAACTAGAAAACAATAACAATATTAATAATATTGTAAACAATATTGTAGATCGTGGCTAACATTGGAATTGTGAACGGAAATATAGTGACAACGACCTTGGATCCCTTGGTATCTGATGTGGAACCGGTGGTTACAACCGAACCAGCATTGAGTGAACCTGTAACAAGTGATGATGCTGGAGATCTAAACACGCTTGAACCTGTAGTGACAACAACAACAGCTGAGGGTGTTACTGAGTGTGTTTGCGATTGTCGTAACCAAGGACGTGAATGCGATAATACAACAACGAATCCTAATGCAGATGTACCAGCAGCAACAACTGAAGCAAACGTCGAAAATGATGCATCGACAACTGGTCCAAAGGAAGAAAACAATATTACCTCACCACCGGAAGCAACTAGCACGACTGCTCCACCCCCGCCACCATGCAATACACCTGGTGTTGAGGTAGATCCATCTGACTGTCGCCTTTATCGTGATTGTACTGCAACAGGCTCGGCAGATGGCAGTTTCCATTTGCTAACGAAGTTTTGTGCTTCAAACGAAGCTTTTAATGTCAAGTTGGGACGTTGCAGTCGTGACATTTCGTCATGTTCAAATGAGGTAGTTTGTCAAGTCAAGGGTGGGGTGGCAGATCCTCTCAGCAACACATCGTACTATCTGTGCGAACCTCGTTTGATTGGTGGTGGTTTTCATGTCTTCCATGTTCAATGTTCGGCCAACCAAATATTCTACCCCCTGTTGGGAAAATGTTTCCTGGATTTGGAGAATTTGCCCGCAGTCCCCGTTTATCCCGGCTTTCCTCCATACTATTGGAATCCGATCGAAGATATTGACATCGTCAAGGCAGAACTGAAACTAATTAAGGAACAGGATAAGCTCACATTGAAATTGGAGAAGGAACTTCTGAAGGCTGAGAAGAAGCGGCAAAAAGAGTTGCAAAAAGAAGCCGAGCAAAGGGCTAAACAAGAAGAAAAATTGAAAAAGGAATTGTTGAAACAAGAGAGCGCCACTTTTGTATGTCCTCAGGATGGCACCTACCCGTCAACCGTTAGTGAGACAGCTTACTTTGTTTGTGTCAGCAAGAAGGATAAGTCTAAGGTTAGTGTGGTCCAATGTCCAGTTGGTTCGAAATACAATGCTGACATTGGTTTTTGTGCAATTGATAACACGCTGCTTAACCAAGCATTGAATAACGCCAGTGTCGATGATGATGACGACGATGAAGACGATGATTAAAGTTGAGAAAGAGACGACAACTGTATTAAGAATATCAAAATTCGGTGTGTTCGAATAAATATTTGTGTTATATTTTAAAATATTGAATTAATAAAGAATTAAATTTGGATAATTAAATAATTGCTTTTCATTATTTTAGAGTTGCACAAACACGTTCAAATTAGAACGAAAATAACAACATTTATAGGTATTCTAATGGTTCCAACTACTTTTGTAAATCATATCGGCTGCAATTTCACAAATAATTATATTGTTCCAAGGAATTGTCCTTTGCAGTAGCGAAACTTTCCGATTTTTGTATTTGAAATGGCCTCATTTTTAGTATTTCACCGATCAAATGGGAAAAATTTCTCGTGTTACTCGTGTGATAAGTTGAGTCAAGATATTCTATAGAAGGTCCTTGGTGCATGTGCAGATGGGTTAATAGAATATCAATATGTCTGTCCCGAATCCAGGCCCTGTCGGCACCAATACATTTGTAATCTTTCCTTCGAATCCCTTTTCTGAAATATTATGGAAATCTCAAATCGCTTTTTTTTAATTTCAAATCGATATTCCTCTCTTTGTTTGGAAAATCAATTTAAACAAATTTCGAATCTGTTCAGTTTTTCAACTCCACCTTTCAATTGTAATTGGAGACTTCAATTTGTATTTCATATATTTCAGTTGGGATTTTTTATGTTTCCTTTCGAGTAATCTGTGTAATATGTCGTATATTTTAATTCAGGATATTTTGCCGTGTTTAAAATGAAAGATGGCTGAAATCATTTAGGAATTCCAGTTTGTTGTTTACACACCACTTAAGAAGTTTTTTTTACAGATATTTCTTTGAATTTCAATGCAATCTATCTTTATCCGTTTTATTTTGATTGACAATTCCGTTTCCAAAATTAAATTCCCAGAACTTTAATTATTGGTAATTGAAGACAATCGCAACAGATCAATGGGGGTAAGGCGACAAGCCTAATCACACACACACTACCCAGGCTCCAAAAACGCTAGAAAATATTCCACCACTACCGACAGCGCCAACTGACGGATATCGACAACTCAGATAAGAACCTTGACGATTTCGTGTTTTTTAAAAATTATCAGTTAATTACGAAATTTTAGTAATACTACCAAAGACGTTAGTAACTGCGACGAAGGGGCGGGACGGTGTGGGACAGGACCAGAGGGCCGATCTAAATTATGAATGCGATTGAAAAATGTCTAGCTCAGTCACATACATGTATGTATGCGATATAAAACAACAGATAGCTTTTGTGTTGTCGATCACTCTGTTCAATTCGTTTGGTAATAACGGTTGTTTCCCTAAACGCGCGCAATATTCACATCGCTCACACCACTAGCCGATTTCTGAAGATGAAGTACTTCTGCGTACTGACTGCACTGGTCATTGGTGCTGTAGCGTGCTCTGCTGGCACCGTTGCCGTACAGCATCCCTGTGTCCGCCCCGGATTTTTCGCCATATTGGATAATTCACGCAACTACTATGGCTGCTATGCCAATAAAAATGGAGGCTTAACAATGAAATACCTGAGCTGCAAGGAAGGTGAAGTTTTCAATGGCCAAAAGGGACTATGCATGGCACAAGCATTCAACGAAGTGGCCAATGAGGAGGATATAGAAAGTCCAACCATTCCCACGGAGGCTCCTGCCGAAGTGCAAACCACAGTTAAACCCATAGAAGAAGTTACAACACCAAAAGTGGAAAAACCAGGGGAGGCTCCCACAACACCTAAAAGTCCTGATTCCGAGACGACCGTAAAACCCGAGGAACCTCCAACCACACCTAAAATTCCTGATACTGAGACCACCGTAAAACCCGAGGAATCTCCCACCACTCCAAAGGTCCCTGAAGAAAATCCAACCACACCTAAAGCACCTGAGGAAAACCCAACCACACCCAAAGCCCCCGAAGAAAATCCAACCACACCTAAAGCACCTGAAGAAAATCCAACAACACCCAAAGCACCTGAAGAAAATCCAACCACACCTAAAGCACCTGAGGAAAATCCAACCACACCCAAAGCCCCTGAAGAAAATCCAACCACCCCTAAAGTCCCCGAGGAAAATCCAACCACACCTAAAGTTCCTGAGGAAAATCCAACAACTCCCAAAGCTCCTGAAGAAAATCCAACCACCCCTAAAGTCCCCGAGGAAAATCCAACGACACCCAAAGTCCCTGAAGAAAATCCAACCACACCTAAACCAGAAGAGCCTACAACGGAGACTAAGCCCGTAGAACAACCAACAACGCCTAAAATTCCTGAGGAGACTACAACCGAAGAGCCCACTACAGAAACCAAGCCAGTGGAACAACCCACCACACCTAAAATTCCCGAAGAAACAACTGCTAAACCAGAAGAGAGCACAACCGAAAAACCTGAAGAACCCACAACCGAATCCAAACCCGTGGAACAACCCACCACACCTAAAATCCCCGAAGAAACTACTGTTAAGCCAGAGGAAACTACAACCGAAGAACCTACAACCACTGTAGAAGTTCCGACGACTACTGATGAACCAGAGGCTAACACAACAACCGAAGCGACCACCGAGACTACTGAGGCCGAAGAGGATACAACAACATTCGAACCAACGGAAGTCCCAACCACTACCGAAGAACCTACTACAACAACAGTGGTCAATGAAACCACTGAAGCTGATACGACAACTAAAGAACCAGAAATTTCTACGACCACACAAGTGGACAACGAAACCACCACCGAAGAACCCGTAACTGAACCCACGACAACTGAAGAACCAGAAGAAAGTTCAACCACACCCGTTGACAATGAAACCACCGAAACCCCCGAAGATACTACCACCGAAGATGTCCCAACTACCACAGATGAGCCCGAAGTAGAAACAACGACTCCTAGCCATGCCTTCACCTGTCCCACAACAGGTTTCTTCCCTCAGGATGGCAGCTGTAACAAATTTAACTTGTGTGCTGAAGTAGAAGGTGTCGTGAGAGCCTTCCCAAGAGAGTGCCCCGAAGGTCAGAATTTCTTCCCACCTGGCGGCTACTGTACTGCAGATTTCAGCTGCGATGAAACCAAGACTTTGAAGGCCGACAACTTTGTGTGTTTGGTCGAAGGAACCTTTGCCTATCACTCCGACTGCTCCAAGTACTACAGATGTAGCTGGAACTCACGCATGGAAGACTACCTGGCCGAAGTGATGCAGTGCCCATCCGGTGAAGTGTATCACATTTTGACAGGTGAATGTGACGTCGAAGGAGCCCTGACCTGCGTTGGTCGTGGTCTCCTTAACTCACGATTTGCCTACTAGTTAAATTAAATCATCCCCTCCAAGCTAAATATTGATAATTATGATGAATTTGAATAAATTAAAAATCAGAATGATTTTAAATGTATGTGTGTGTATGTCTTTTATTCTTTAGTCCAGTATTAGTATTTAATAAACAATTAAAAGTATTTATCAGTATAAAACGTTGTTTTCGCTAGAAGAAAAATACAACCCCCTATCTACATGCCGAACGTATCAGGCTGTTGGCTGTTCAGTTGTCTGCATGACAAACATTTCAACGAAAATTTTAATCACTACGATTTCGAAATTGTTTTCCATTTGGGCAGATTAGAATTTGAATGGCACTGCTGTTCTAATGTTTTCTCCATGTTTTTGTTTGTTTGTTTGTTTGGCTTATTTATCAGCAGTTGTTGACGTGCTTTTTGGCCAAATTCATTAAGTTTTACTTACCTCCTTCTGTTGACTGATTAGTTTCGCCATTTGTGGTTGCCGTTGTTGTTGTTTTTGTTGTGGGTTTGTGTGAATGATTCTCATTAAAATTGATAAGGTCGGCAAGTCAGTATTTTTATGATGATAACCGAATTCAAGTGACATTTTAGAGCCTTTTTGCCATTTTAAAATTTCGTCATTTATAGTTTGATGAACAATGGCAATAACAACCACTGAACAATAATGGAGATATGTTTTTTTATTTCGTTATTAATCATGAAACAACAATTTTATCGCCTTACATTTATAATTTCCAAATGGAAGAATTAAATGAATTTACAGTTAATGTTTGTATTTCAACTTATTATTTATTTACATTAATATTCCGTATTACACTGTAGAGATTAATACAAAGTCGATTCTTTCTCTGCCAAGGAATTTCAGTTTCAAAGATATTTGTTTTGTCCCATAATGTCAATTTAGCCTTGTCCATTTGTCACGATAGACCTTTCAATATTTAAAATTGATCTATGGCATGTTGCACATACGGTTCTAATTCTCCTAGGAATTTTGGTATTGATGATGTTATAAATGTTCTGCCCCACTTTCGGTCTGGAATTTGATAGTCAGTTTTCTTACAAAATCAATAACCTCCTGGCAGACACATTGCAATACAATTTAAAATTTCCCTACCTTATAAAAATCGATCGAAGTTTTTACTTATTTTTTATGTATTATCAAGCTATGAAGCTTCAAGAGGTCAGCTGTAATACATCCTTTGGTGTCATTTTAATTCGACAATAACACCAAATAAAAACACGTCCATGTTCAGGCGTGACAATATTTATACGAATTTTTAACTAAATTGGAGAGGATCCTTTGGGAGATATGACATTACATAGCATGGACCCATACTGACGATTTTCTGCGAAGACGTTTTTACCTACCAAGAACCCGAAATGCAAATTATTAACTAGATGGGTGATCCAGATTTAAAGTGTTCTTTGTTCATAACCAATAACTTATATATTAGGTTGGGGAAAAAGAAATCCATTATTTTTATATGAACTATAGGATTTTATTTAAAAAGCATCGGAATGTCCGATTTGGGCCATATATGCACCGTTTTTTGTATGATTTGTTGCCATTGTAAAGGTAACTTCACAATGCCTCTCTCAGTCCTAGTAGTCGATTTTCACAATCGACCTTCCATACAAATCTTTTATCATTAAAGAAATTTTGCAATGCAAGAAGAATATGATAATCGCTTGGTGCCAAGTTCGGACTGTATGGCGGATGTATAAAAACTTCCCATCAAGCTTCCGAAGTTTCAGGCGAGTCACTGACATTTGAGTCCAGCTTTGTGTAAATGGTTTAAAACAGTTTTATGGTCCTGGACGATGTTTCGACTGCTAACATACCTATGATCTTCGATCATTTCTCCGATTTTATGGATTTCTTTTTCCCTAAACCTAATAATTACCTAAAGCTATTATAATCATTTCTTGTTTGTTTTTAATTTATATTTTTTCTTAAAAAATTATTTACAAAATTTAATATCGATATAGAATAAAAAATAATTATTATAGGCATACAAATATAATTAATTATTAATTACATAAATAATTATTATTTATGTCGATTTATGATGACTATTCCATATACATTGGCAGGCATTCAGTGCATCGAGGGAACAGCAGCATCAGCAGGATCATAACGTATACTAACGAACTGCTCGCTGGAGATGGAAACAATTAAAGCTAAACACAATAAGGAGAAGTAATCGGAAGGTTGCCATGGTGAAGAACATCAAAGAAAATGTACTACGAAAATGATAATTTGCACATCTGCTAGAAACAAAATCCTAAATATATATAGCGGGGACACGAGGGAGGATTATAATACAATGGATGAATAACGGGATAATTGTAAAATGAGTAGCAGATGAGGAAATTTATCTCGGCGAAGGTTCCATAGATTTCTTCTTGGTTGCAGGATGTCGGTCTTTGGTCAGATCCATAATGCTGTGTGATGTTGAGCCACTAGCTTCCAGATTTTTCGGTGATTTGACAGTCTTTAGAACCTGCAATGGAATGTGTGTGTGTGTGGGTTGGTGTGTGTGTGTAGGTGATTGTGCATAAAATGTTGTGTGTTGGTGATGGATGTGTGTACAAAAAACGCAATCATTAGTAACAGTCCATGAAGGAATAAATCAACGACTTCAGTTCGCTTTAAAATGCTTTACTTTGGAATTGCCGTCTATTATTTCCACCGGTTCCGAGGGCACATATGCCGAAAGACCTCTCAAGCCAACGTGATCGGGCAAGAAGAATGCATTACTGAACACTTCCTGGGAGAGATCAAAACGATATTTGCCTTTGCTGCTATTGTCAGTACCTAGAATTTTCAAAAGATTACTGGCAGTAACTATAAAGAGAACAGGGAAAATGGATCGGGTTGTTAGGTAAGGGACTGGGTTTGTTGAGAGGTTGCTAAACAATCGAAACAGTGGAATCTCTACTTACCATTTCCCGGGGTGGGTCTTACTAAAAATCTGGGCGATTTAAAGCCACTTCCAAATCCACTAAATGGTCTCTCAGTCGTTGTCGTCGATGTCGAGGAGATTTGTCGTTGGGGAAAGAATACGGGCTGTGGCGTTACCACATAGACCTTCTCCTTGGTTTTTGGCGATATTGAAACCTTGGCCTTACGCCAAAGTTCCTCCGGCTCCACCTCTTCTACATCTTGCTGATAGTATGGTTTACGTGTTGTTGTTGTCGAGTAACTGGAAGATGTGGTGGGGGTGGTGGTTGGTGCCACTGTTGTGGTTGTTGGGTGTGTAGAAGGTGGTGTGATGGTAGTTGTCTTATGCCTTGAGACTTCTTGACCGTCGTCGTAGGCATTCTGCAAGTGATTGTCGTTTATGGCTGTGAACTGGAAATGTTTCCTTTCGTACAAAGGCTCCAAGCTATTGACGGACGCCGACAGTTCTGACGTATCCAGAAATCCCTTCGTGGTCTTAGATTGCCTCTGTGGCTTTACAGTTGGCTTTGTTGTCGTCACAGTTGTTGCTGTGGACGGCAAATATTCCTTTGGTATGTGTTTCGATCGACCTAAAATTGTTGGCGTACTGGGACGATGGGATAGCGAGGTGTATTCTTGTTCTGTCCAGTCATCGATATTTTTCTGCAACGTCTGCAAGTCGAAGTTCAATGAATTGGGACTCTGTTTCAGCTTTGTGGATGGAGTGTGCTCCCGCTGTAGCAGTTCTCTGAGATTGGAGGCAAGAATCTTCGTCAAATATTTAGTAGGGCGAGGTTTGACTGTCGTTGTCGTAATCGGATTAAGTTTGACGTTGACCAACATTGTCTCCGCCGGCGTGTGTAGATCGGAATTTTGGGCTTGAATCCAATCGGCGAAGGATGGTGTTGCTGGAGGTTTTGTGGTGATATTTTTTGTTGGCTCAAATGGGCGTGGCTGAACTTTGGTAGTGAATGGTATGAAGGGGGGCTGTCTGTTGCCCTGAGTGGGCAAAGCAGGAGGTGACATGCCCGCATAATGCCCACTGGCATCTATCGAACTATAAGTTGATGTTGGCGTGGGTGAGGCTGGCGATACTGAATTTTGTTGATATCCTGCCTGTTCGTTAAATTTATGATTTTTAGCCCCAACTCTTAGGCCCAGATCGGCGGGATCCCTTGTAAAGGGCCTTGGTTGGGCCAAACCTCCACCCAGGTGTTGAATTGGAGAATCCAACATTCTTTTCGGCGTTTCTCGGTCACGTGGCTTCTGAGGCCACAGTTTAGTTGACGATGTCTGTTTGCTGGTCTGCACGGATGCAATGAACTCCACATCATTGCTCTGTGGCGATTCCGTCGATGAGTAAAAGTCTGGTCTAATAGTAGTGGTGGTTTCCGCCTCGGTATTGATGTACACTTCGGGCGTGGTGGTAGCGTATACGAAATCATTTGATTCAAGTGTCCACGAGTCGTATGCATTGCCATCCGTGTGAATTGAATTGTTTTTAACCGAAGCGGCAACAAAGTTGTCAAGATCATAGCCTTGATCCTGGGATTCGTAAATCGTTGTGCTCTGCTCATAGCTCTGTGTTGGATAGGTCGTGGATGGTTGGTATTGATTGTCGATGACAAAACTTCCTGGTTCAGTGAGAATCTGCGAGGCTGGTATATGCTGATTGAGATATGGGCTCAATGTTGAATGTTGATACCGCCCAGTATTGACCACAGGTTTGGTGTCCGATTGCTGATCTCTGGGCAAACTTGAACTGGTGGATTGAATATCGAAGGCTTGTGTTTGCACGAATGAAGCAGGATACTCGACAGAGGAAACGTAATCGGCCACTTGGTGGCTTTTTATGATTTCAAAACTGGCATCATTGTTTTGTGTTGTTGGGGGGATTTGAGTTGGAATTACGGTGTCCAAGTGGATTTCGGAATGGGCCGATGCTATGCTGTCTGTAAAGTGGGCTGCCTCCGTTGAAGGAAGTTGCTGGTGAATTGGCGGCGATGAAGTGGGGATGGTTGGTTGATGTTGTTGATGATGATGCGTTTGAGCAGTGAATTGTGTGGATTGGCCCGACGAAGGTTGATGGAATGGTCGGGCATTATAAATGGGGAGTTGGGCAGAGTTACTTAAATTCGGTATAGGAATTGGAATGAATGGTCCAGAAGAATATTGTAGTTGATTGGGTGAATGTTGTCCCGCACCTCCATTACTTGCTACTTGTGGCGGAACCGACTGACCGGTGTGAGAGGATACCGATGGTCCGGCGGGAGGGTAGTGAAATTGAACTGCTCTTTGTTTTACTACACTAGATGCGGCATGTTGCAATTGTGGCACTGCCTGTTGCTTGTACAGCTGTGGCTGTTGTTTGCTGGGATCCCATGGATACTGGACGCTGTTGTGCATCATCGGTACCCAAGGATATTTATTGCATAAATTGCATGGTTCCTTGCTACCGGAACTATGCTGTTGTGGTTTTGGATAATAGTAGAGGTGATTATTTGTACTCGCCGCCGCACTAGCTTGGGGATCTTGAGAATAGTTCTCATTGGCAAAGCCAAACCATCGTGCCATTCGACTTATCAGACCGGGCTCACTCACGGTCTTTGCAAAGGCTTGACTGTTTGGAAAGGCATAGTGTGGTACAGTACGGCTTTCACTGGGTAACGAATTAACAGGTCTTACAGCCGAATGCAAACGTGTGGCGGCAGACGGCAATGATGCTACTGCAGGTCGAGGCGGTGGTACTAGGTAATCTAATGGCGGTGGAGCTGCCCCTAGTGCTATATGATGGACCATTAGGCACATTATGAGCAAACAACTCTGTCTCACATCCACACATTTTCTATGCTGGTGAATCTGAAAAGAAAATAATTTTTTTGAGAAGTTATTCTAAATATTTGAGAGGAAGTAATTAGATTGAGCTAAACTTGTGAAATAAAAATTAGCGATTGAATATTTCTGTTTAGCTATGAGCCTAAATTGCAATTGATTCTATATATGATCTGGGTATATTTTTTACCCAATACATGTAAATAATGGATCAAATCATTGTCCTGGTGCCCCGAATAATAATGTATATTGGCCGTTGATTTGGCCAATCCGCTAGAACAAACGTATTCGTTACTTTACTTGGCAGCTATTTGAGGGATTAATAATGCAATACAATAAGATACATTTTTAAATATGCATGTGTGTATGTGTGCATGTCAATAAATAAAAAGAAGGCCGATATCGCTGCATTGTGGCCATGGCCATTTGTAGTTGACCACTGTCATGAATATAAAGAAGTGTGAAGAGATTGTTGGAGTACAACGAACAACATTCCATATTTTTGTGGCAATTGTTACAATTATCATGTACGTTTGTGCAAATTGTTAGGTAATCGCTCGCTGGCTGATCATGCTGACGATGATCATGGTGGCATAAAAGCATAAATTATCATTGTTTTGCTGCGGTGTAGCGATGTGTATGGCGATATGAATGATTAGCGGCGACATAACCCCATGGATGTGGTCGTCATAAGTATGCGTAACGTGACGTCGTTGGCATTTGGACGTCGGACAGACATACAACAACGATGATGCGACACTATATTGTAATATAGGCATGTGGATGTGGCCACCAACTTAATCATCAGTCTCTGCTCGTCTTTGGACTACCCAATGAAATTTCATATCTCATTTGCATACCCACATTTATATCAGTTTCGCTTTGGCAACATCTGTGTTTGTGCGCTTACATGCAGATCTATGCTAAAAGAAATGCATTTGGCAATGGTTTCCCACAGCGCTTGGCATCGTTTTGCCTTTTTTTCTGCAAAGATTACCGGAGTCTTTGACATCTTCAGTGCTTTGCGTTATTGTGTTTTTGCAATTGTTGTAATAATCGCTGTAATAAAACAATAAATATTAGATGTGGCATTATGTTGACATATGTGAGTGTGTGCGTTGCATATTAACCTCCACATATTACATGAAAGACAAACAAACAGACGGACTGACTGACTGACAGACAGATATACCAATTCCACTGTTATGTTGGGGTCATAAATCTAGGAATTCGTTTTACTCTATGGAAGAAATCTCGACAAGATGTTCCTCCAAGAGCCGAATAATTTTTGTCCATAGCAAAAGCGTTTTTTTCATGCTTTCACTATAAATGTCAAACAATAATAATAATAATTGTGATAATGTTGATGTGCCTGCATTTGTTTTATGACTTTTGGCAAATTAATTGTATTTATATATTAATTGTATTTATATGTACATATATGAGATTAGCTAGGCCGGTAGTTGTTGTCCACATGTAAATAATTTATACATTATGTATTTATGTGACATAATCTGACGACATACACACGTTGTATACGGGTGAATTATATCACGTTCAACATACATATGTTACGAATTAGTACAAGCATGTGTCGGCAATTTGTTTCGGAAGGTGGTTAGTGGGTATATTCTTGTAGTGTAGACATTTTAAATTTTCTATTAAATCTTTATTAGGTGTTGGCCAAATACATATTTAGCCTAATAAATAATTCCCAAGTATGATACATATTAACAAATTGAAAACAACCGATTACTAGCGGGCAAAGCCGAACATATGACACCATTATTTAGCCATCTACCTACCCCTTAAAATTTTCTCCTCATAAACAATATACTTTATTAATGAATAAAACAATATACTTTATTATTTGATGAGCATCGCCCATTTTTGAGGCTATTAAGTATCGCCAACATTAAATTCAATGTCGAGACGGCCTTTGCATAAATAGTTCAAGTTTCAATATGTTCGGCTCACCTCATAAGACCCGAATTATGATGGTACAAGAAAAACCCTAGCTGGGTTTTGAATTATTGGCTAAGGTTCTTGTTTAAACCTGTTTTGTCGATTTGGGGTGGATATTGAAATAATATGTACGCTTATCACGTGAATTACTCGAAATATCGATTTTCACTTTCTAGCAATGTTTTTCCCTTTAATAATATCTACAAATTTTTCTTTGATATAGAATTAAAAAAATACAACAACAACATCATACTCAAAATTGCACATATGTCAAAAACCCATACATTAGCTAATATGTCAAAAACCTTACCTAATAATTCAAAATCCAGCTAAGGTTTTTCTTAGCTTTCAAATGTTGGCGGTTCCGATTGGTTCAAGATTTTAGAGCTGAACAGTGTAATTTGTAACAATTTGTACAAATTGTTATTGGTTGTTGTTCGATATCACAAAACTTCAGTAAATAGGAGCAAGTAAAAATTTGAATATTTTCATTTTTTTTTGAGGAATTACTGCTTAATACCTTAGTTTAGCTCACAAAACTACTGATAACGCCGACCGATGATAAGGATTGCATTTTAATCCACTATCAATTGTCATAATCCAATTGCTGATGCAGGGCAGAGGAGAAATGTTTTTGCTTCTTTTATGAATGGGCGAATGAATGATTTAAGTGGTTTTGTTGCCTGCAGAAGCTATATGCGAATGTGAGAAAATATGCATATTTTGTGGTCTCAGTACGTGGGATTTGAAAAAGTCATTGCCTTCCATTGTGGTTATTTGTTGTTATTCACATTTGGTGGTAACTTGGCTCGGTGGCAGTTGCCTTTGGTTTAAACAATCTTCCATAAGAGTTTATACTAGATACTAGCATATCAAAGTGTGTGTGTGTGTGAGTAGTTGTATTTGTGTACATGTCGATGATGACACTTTCTTTTAGCAGATTACTTAAAAATATATATAATTATGTATAATGATGTGTCATTGATTAGAAATATAAATACATATTTATAATCTTATCTGGAACTGGAATTCTGATAGAAATGTCCACAAAGACCAAACAAATTAAACAGCAATTATTATTTCGCAACTAATGCGAAGCAATGAATGTCAATAAAACACGTACATGTGACGAGGGGGATTTTTGATTTCTTTATTAAATATTGTCTATTTGAGTATTTTAGATTTGATTTGATTCGATTCGATTCGATTCAATCATTCAATCATACGCTTCAATGTTCTTGCCAAGTGAATGCAGGCTGGCCGAAAAGACTGAATAAATATTTCATATTTTCGTTTAGTGGCCTTTGGCTAATATCATGTTGACCATTGATCTCTCTTTTTAATCGAATCGACTTTTGATAAACAATTCACATACGTTTATTGGTGCTCACTAAATTCACTGTGTACTGAAATGGAAAACCCCGTGTGACGGATTTATGCAACCGCATTTCATTTTCAAAACAAGTCATGATAACAAACCGAAAAACTGGACCAATTTAAACTTGTCTCAATTCCAATTTCACTTTTGTCTACAACGACGACAACAACAACACAAACAACTGGATCACAATGGAATTAAGTGATTTTTTAGCATTGTAACATTTTGTTTGGCTTGGGTGATGGCGGGAACTAGTCCTAGTCAGCCGTAAAGCATAATCATTTCTCATTGCTTTTGGCAATGCAAAAAATGTGGTTGGTCTAGTTTTGACATGCACATGATATCCATAGTCCATATTCCTAGCATCATGTGTGTTATCCTTACCCATAAATTATATGTCTCACGGGCAGCGATATTAATGGAAATAAAAATGCAGATTAATGCGAAGAGGTGGTGGTTATTATTTTGCAGACGATAACAATTAGCAATCGTTGCAAGACAATGACTTCGTATTATGAAAAAAAAAAATAATAATAACTAAAATTCATATTTCATCAGAAATAACCACACATCGATCACGAGTGAAAAGATATTTGTCTCATGGACGACAAATTTAGTATTTGTTCAATGCCTGAGAACTGAGATTCAACGCCAAAGGGTGTGAGGGCAGTGGTGTAAGGATGAAAGGGTGATCTTTACACCGTTGCCACACAACATTTCAAGTATACAGACTAGGTCGTAAGCAGACCCAACATTTAATAGATAATCCTTTTCACAGTGAAATAGAAATCTTGTGTGTAATTTTTGGGAAAGTTGACCCAAAATTTTGATCTTTGTAGACAAGACATGGAAATTGTTTTTAGAAAAGAGAATAAATATGTTTATCAGAATATCTGCACAATTTCCTAAGATGTGGACCATTGACTAGTGCCGATTTATAAAATAATCAAACTCAAGGTGTACGTAAATCACCGAACTCGATCAAAATTTGACTCCGAAATTGGAAGTTTTTCGGTTTGTTGGGAGGTCATGGCCACAGCCACCCTAATATATTCCTATTTTTGTATTTTAAATAAATCGTTACTGTGGAGCTAATAGCGCTTGTGGTACATGTACATCTGCTATAAAAATTTCCAGAAATGGTCCACTTAGCCCATCAGTCGACTCCATTAACATCTAAACTCATATATTTAAAATTGAAATAATATTAAAACTTTAGTCGTTGACTTATAGACAATGGTACATACATATGTACATAATTTAATTTTTATAAAGATATTTTATGCCAATGGTAAATAGTGGAGAAATTTTCGCCTTTGCCAAAAAAAGAAACAAAAGCAAAATAAATTGGTTTCGAAAATATTGTTTGGCGCATAATTCATATTTCAGATTCAACTTCGCGTGGCTAAACCACAATATCCGAAAATGCTCTGGTTTTGTCACCATTTGCTAGTTACGAACTGGGTACGAACGTGGTAGCTAGGTACTACTAATCGCAACGAAGATTTCCACGAATAGGGTCATTATTATTCACAAAGAAAGTGAAATTGTTTATTGGATGGATGCGTGCGTGTGTAAGAAACGACGAGGATTCACTAGCTGGCCATGGTGAGTACCATCTGCCAAGACACCA